CTAAATAAGTATTATTAAGTTACTCTCTCTCTCTCTCTCTCTCTCTCTCTCTCTCTCTCTCTCTTTGCACATAAAAAGCTTAAAATATTATATTGCAAATAAGCTTGCAACAAACTCATGGTTCAATATTACACTTAGAATTTGGAAAATTTTATACAAATCAAAATTCATCCTTAAAAGAATAAATAACCAAAAAAGTCTTTACAATACTGCACAAAACATGTAATGCATCACTTAATCCAGTCTAAGTATACAGAAAAAATCTAGTATGAGATTTTTGTGAGCTTTTGTGTACTAAAACTTAGTGCTACTGGAGTACTTGAGCTCTTTACAAAACTAATCTGGTACATACTAAAACAGAAAAAAGACAAAGAACCCAAATGGATTGTGTATTAAGTCGATGAATACATTATTGGAGGAAATATCATGCGCTTAATATAAGGTGCACACATGCTTTTATGTCGATTTGTTGGAGATGTGTTACCACTTCAACGCCATTCCATGGGTCTGTAAGTCTTAACAGGTGAAAATATTAAAATACAAGTTAAATAACACTAGTTGCATTCAACTTAATGACAAACCCATGCTGTGTTAGAAATTGTTTTTATCTGCAATGCAAATAAAAGCTCTTCAAACCCATTCATTCTCATTTTCTATAGTAGGGTAAATATGCAAATGGAACCTGCAACCAGATGGGAAAGGAAGGACACCATACCACACATGAAAAACACATTTTTGACCAAATTCAAATGCGCATCAATGAATCAACCAAATTAGGTATTGGCAATGGTAATCACTGAATCATTTCATTCAATCTAATCATGCTTGGTTCCCTAAAATATGCATATGTATGTGGGGGCAATTAGCTAAGATTTAAAGATGGCAAACTATTTACAAACTTAAAAGATGACAAATAACTTAGATCGAAGATGACAATAAAATACAGGTAAAAAATCATTAAGGCAGTCAAATCATCTAACATTAGGATGATTACTTCATATGTTACGTTTCACGTAGGTATCTTTTTAAAAAATATGTCCAAAAATGACCAAATTCTCCCTATTCAGAACTGAGAGCTCTAATCAGCTAGGGGAATTTTAGTAATTTGACCCAAGTGTCTTGAGCCAAATGACAGCAATACCCTAGGTTATTCAAGGTTAGCAATATGGAAAAAGAGCTCACAATGAAAAAAGTGAGTTTCATATTACTATCCTTGAACAATAAGGGTTTTATTATCATTTGATTTGGGCCACTAAAGTGGGCCAAATTACCAAAAACCCCTTTACAATCTTGAATAAGGCGATTTGGTCATCCTTTAATATATTTTTTGAGGATGTACCCGAGTAAAATGAAACTTAAAAAGTAATCAAAAGTTAAATGAGATGATTTGAACACCTCAATTATTTTGTAGGGAAGTTTGACCATTTAAGTGGTACTTTCTCATGAAATTAACAAGTTCATAGTTCTCTTCTCACCACCAACGCTCTTAGCAGCATCTTTAAGGCTTCCAGCAAAGTATTGTTGAAGAACCACCATGCTAACAGATTTTTCTAGCTTTCCTCGCCCTCTTTCAAGTCCTCTCCTTCCAAATTTGATTTCTCCAACAGAATTAACTTCACACCTTTTGGCTTCTATATCTGACAACTTTACATTGTAATTCATAGTATCCTGTCGCAGTAAATCTCGATGTCCACTAGTTTCATGCAAAGTGCTCTTGCAAGACCTTTCCTGCTCTTGGTACATTTCATGATGTCCTTGACAATTTTTATGGCTGCCTGGTATGTTACCACCGTTTTCCACATTTCGGCATATTTCAATCATTTGGACAGATTTTTCATCATGAACTTCTTTACTAAGAACCAAAAATGAGTTCTGACAACACTGTTTGATGGTGGCTAACATAGACACCAAAAGTTTGCGTTGCTCTGCCTTTCCTTTACAATTTAAGGGCAAGAAAATCTCCAAAACATAATCACCACTGCCAGCATACAAGCTCTGTAAATGTAGAGCAAGAGAACCTGATAAGCCAAACATATATGCATAATGCACTAGAGGATATTCAGTTTTGCTAAAAGAACAAATGTTGTCGCAAAAACATGGTCCCTTGGATGTAAATGCTCCACCCACTATGCCCTCGCTACCTTTCAAATGGTGTTCGGAACAAGCATCTCTGAAACCCCACACATGAGCTTCATTGACACAAAATGCAGCATTATTTGCTGACATACAAACTTTTCTATCACCAATTTTCAAACAACTATCGTTATCCTTCATGACAGCCACATAATTTTTAACATCGCAATAATAGCATGGAACCCAAGTCTGAGCTAGTGGTATATTATGGATATCACAAACTGAAATCAATATCTTCCTGATTTCGGCAAGAGCTGCCCGGTGACCGTCATTAGATATCTGTCAAAATATAAATGAAGACAATTACATCTGAAGAACTTACCCAAAGAAAATCTTAATCCATATTTCAAGAGCAACGACTACTGACCTGTACATTTGGATGATCCACGATCTCAGGGACTTTGAAATTCACAGCCTGCAATCTCACAAATATTTTCATTTAAACTACATTCACCCTATTAAAAGGGGCACATTATATCTATGGAATATTAGTTTTAGTTTTTCTTTTTTGTGAATGTTAACCTTGGGACACCGCTAGGAATGGAACTCTTGACGTAATGTGGCAACCTGACCACCCAAGTCAAAAGGCCACTCCTAGTATCAAGCATATTATTAAGAATGCATTTCTAGAGTTATTTCCCATGAATTCAGATGCAAAGCAGTAAAAATAAATATCCCCAACATTCTATTCTCAACTTTCCTATTTCTTAGTAACCTGAAATTCTTTCTGCATGGGATATTATAGAGTCATAGATGGTTTAGAAAATCTCAACCCCTGGTCAACATGAATCACCTCTTTGAACAATTAGCAAAAATTAGAAACACTTGAAATTTCCAACATAGATACTTTAAATACAAATCCAAGAAAAGCTGCTGCAGTAATGAAAATCCTTGTACACAAAATCAGAAAAACACTTCCAATTTGTCCACATCAGAAATGCACATGCAGTATATCAAGAGACTACTAACAAATGTTTGCCCAACCACTAAGAAGATAGAGGGCCCAAAGTACTAATCCAATAGAAATGCCACCTGCTCTTTCCCATGTAACTTTAATGACCTACAACCTAATTCTGGTGCTTTCTTTTTCCCGAGCAATTTACTAATTTTAAGGAAGAGAAAGGAGAAAATGCAATGTTCAAAGGAGTCAACCAAACTACTATGGTGGCCCAGCCATCCCCTCATTGGTAACACCTATACAACTTGAAATATCAACCACATGTCTACAGAGGTCCTTTATAGAATGCAATAGCAATTATAAAATTGCATTTACTCCCTAAGGAGTATGTTGTCCTCTCTAAACATAACATTGAGCAAGTAACCATGAACTAACAGGCTATGAATGCAGGAAAACTGTAAAACCCCAAACAATAGAGTACAACAGTAGGACTTAGCTTTGCCCTGGCAAGATTATTGTCTTAGGCTCCCACTCAAATTCCCAGAAAGGTTCTACTAATTGGTGAACTCCAAAGCTTTCTTTTCATACTCAAGTCGAACCATGGGAGGGACCAGTTCAAACGAGGTATCGTCTAGGAAGAGAGCCCTCTATCACGTCCAGCTAACGCAACCCCGATTGTTCCAAACTGGTTTAGAGACCATACATTGAGACCATATTCTCCCTTGGTACCTCAACCAGACTTTTCTCTCAAATCTCTTGAAGCAAGGCTCTGTGAAAATACGGTATCCCCACATCATCCAAATCAAAGCTTAAAGCACACACATGAAGATCACTTTAGGTCCCGACTAAGGAAGGAAAAAGATAGCACCATCTCATGAAATGAGTCCGGAGGGATCGAACGAACATGAGACTACTTCAATCTCGTATGTTAGTTACAATAAGAAAGTGGTTCTTGAACATTCCTTTCCTCCATACACAGGATATGAAATATTAAGAATGATAAAAACATAGTAGTGCAAATTATAAACATTTTCCTTGCATATCTATATCCTAATAAACAAAGCCGTAAACTCCAAAAAGAGCTTCCATCCTCCATGTCCTTCAGATATTTGTCATTATCATCATGCTAAATTAGTCCTGAAGTAAGGTAGAAAGACCTTTGACATCACATTCCCCATGAGAATTGATTCCCCCTACCAACTCTCTTAACATAGACACATTGGTAGCATGATGAGCATCCCGCTGCTCCATATAAGATTAGGTGACGTCCTAGTCCATGCCTCTTCAGTGGCTGCAACCACATTCAGCCCCCAATAGAAAAAACAATTGGACCCTTATATCGATAACCAACAGAAAGAAAAGAATACAAAAAGCGATGCACATTACACCACCAATTCTACCAAAATCTGCGTCTCCTATCAAGCATATCCTCTTTAAACTGAATCAATTTCTACAGTTATTTGTTCTTAGGTTCCCTGCCTCATTGTTTGAGAACATTAACAAAATTGTCTTGAATAAGGTATTAAAACTATTTACATTTTGCTGCAGTTTATACAAAATTGCTCATAGAAGTGGTGGAAAGGATGAAGGGAGGGATGCACATATAACAAAATCCCTATACAAAATTAAGAGGAAAGAATAGCTAATCAGCCTGGGAGCTGACGCAGCAGTCTTTGGTGGGGGGGGGGGGTGGTCTAGATGGTAGTGGAGTAAGGAGAGGGGCTCTAGGAAAGATGGGCTCAGCTACAGACCACCGAGTGAGGCTAAAGCACAACCAACCGAGAACCTGATGCACCTAATTCTGATAATATGTCTACCTTGAATTAGTCTCTCTCCACATATGTTTAAAGAGATATTCGACAAGCCGACGAAAGCTAGGATTTAGTCAAGTAGTGGTTGTAGTTGCCAGGGGGTTGAATTCCCTCTTGAGACCCAAGAAATTATGTTTGAGCACCATCCTCCACTAATACAGAGGACCCCCAGCTGTTATGAAACAGTTTCAAGACATCCAAAAAGGCTGGAACCTTAGCAGTGGCAGAATTTTCAATCCCAATAAGACCTGAGAATGTAAGCAATACGTAGGATGAGCTATGTCTATATAGTCCTCCTATCCCTGCAGGCCCAGGGTTGCCGAGTGAGCATCCATCAAAATTTAACTTGATGATGCCCGGCACTCAAGGGAACCAGTAGCTAGATGGCTGATTGTGCATCGGCTTTGAAATCAATATTGCATTCCAATTTAACATAAAATCCTTTGTAGATAAGAAGTAGAATTGCTTTTCACTCCTTGCCCAATAAATTACTTTTAGCCACTATGTGATCAAACACGTTCTCCACTCAAGCCATTCGGTTATCAAAAATGTGACCGTACATTCTAAACAAATACACCAGATTGTAGCCAGGAGCATTACCCACCAAATGAAGGGGTCTGAGGACTTTAGTTCCCTGACATACCATAACATTCAAGATATAAATTTTCTTGTCAGCATCTACCTCAGACATGTATGCCAAGCTAGTTTTGAGAACTTCCGCAGAGAATTTGAGCATAATGCCTTTTGTCATGAACATCTACTCGATGTTCAAATGAAAATTAGAAAACTGGTTTTCATGTCAATGAATTAGTGGTCACTGGAGCAGATATTACTTAATTTCAAGGCTCGAAAATGTATGTCCATTCTCATGCAATCATAAAGATAACAGGTCTTATATATAGCAATATTTGGTTCATATGGAAAAAGTTGATTGAATAAAGTGTATGATGAACTTAGAAATGTTAACCAGGAGTAGAAACAACTGAAACATTTAAAGACATCATGATTAAAAAGATCAAAGTCGCTTTGCCAGAGATATTATTTACTAGATTTGCCACGCATCACAGCACATAAAATGATTCAAACGGAGGCCAACATAATAAATATCCATTGCTGCTAGAATGTCCACAGGAATTGAAACTAATGGTGCCCTAGAGGAATGTAGTAAAAAAGAATACACCTCAAAATGTAGCAAAAGAATAAATAATGATAAGAGCACAAACCTCAAGAGCTTTGCAGACTTTGTCAACTTCAGGTGCATAGCTGATCTTCTGTAATGTCGTTATGAGCTCAACCACACCAATACAAGACTCACCAGAAGCTTCAAATATCGGCACAGCCAAAGAGCCACGGACATCATAGAGCAAGGCATGATTCAATCGTGGGTACTCCTTTCTACTATAAAACTGCACATTTGGAGTCCACTCTGGCCTTTTCTTCTGGAAAACTCGACCAGGGAGACCAAGGTTCCCTTCATCCTCTTTATCAGTCGAGAAAGCATAAGTAAGTGAAACAGTTCGGTATCGAAGAAGGCTCGTGCTCTGGTGATCGAGAGCAAAGGGTTGGCCAGAAGTGGTGAGAACAAACTTATCCCCATTTTTAATTGGCACCCACACCTGAACCAGCACATTGTGCTCAGCTGAATCTTTAAAATTGCGTATAGCCAACATCATTCGTTCCTTTAGAACACAAGACTCATTTGAATCAAAGAAGGGCTTCTCTCCACGATTCTCAAGTTTCACATCTATTTCATTGGCTTTATTTTGTCTCAAATTCTCAATTGGCTTTCCACTAATGGCATGAACCTTCATTAATCCTGGGCCTTGAATTATGTTTTCACCTGGTTCAGAAATATCAATGGGTGAAAACCCCGAATCAAAAAGTTGTGAGGAATCGGAAGAAACCCATTTATCCAATATTTCCTCCTCCAAATTGGAACTCTGAGGAAGCGAGAAGAGAGAAAAAACCTGATAATTTGATGATTGAGGTGTGAAGGTTGGAAAAGAAGCTTGGAAATCAGAAGCGTCTAAATCTAAAGAATAGTACCCACCAATCGAATCCATGAATTCGAAAAAATTGCAGCTTTCGGCCATAGTCTCTGCTGCTTCTCCTCCAGAACACAATAAAGAGGAAGAAGCCATCACCTCAACTCCATGCGTAAACCAAAATTCAGATGAGCAAACACACTAAATAGCCTCTACCCACAAAACAAAAGCATACAAAATACCCACCGAGAGAACTATTTTCTTCTTTACAAGAAGAACAAGGGTTGTTAGAGAACTAGTTTGGGGTAGAACCAAAGTTAATTGGTGATGATTCATTTCAAACCTGTCTACCCCAAACTTAATTGGTGATGATTCATTTCAAACCTGAAGAGAAAAGCAAACCAAAGAGCATTCAAAGAGAAAAACCTCCATTGTTGTAGTTACTGTTTTATCTGTACAGGGACAGCTTTATGAGCAAGGGGAAAGAAGCTTCAAGAGAAGCCAAGTTGATGAGGGGGGGTGACTATATTTTTGGGAGACAGTTTGGACCACACAAACCCTTGAGTAATTTGGGCAGTGATACACAGAGGACAGCAACTTATAATAACACAATTAAAACATAAATTATGCAGGTGAGACGAAGGTTGAAGCCATTGGTGAAATGTACCCCTCGTCTCGAGCTCTTAAAAAAAAGGATGCAATTTCTACGTGGCCAGTAAATATATTTTTTAAATATAATTTGATCTTAATTTTTAAAGAATATATAATCTTTAACATAAAGATTGTGAATATAAAAAATAAAATAAAACTAGAAGTAATAATTATATTAAAAAAATATTCAGACTTACCTATGCTTTATGCCTCTTGACCGCATATTGTAGAAATACGGTCCAACCCGCAATTTTCCTAAGGAAATTGTGAAACTGGGTAAGTGTTCGCCGCATCACGCATGAGCTGCTCTGCCTGTCTCGTCCATCATCCAGAGTGCTAAATGAAAATACAAACCAATCAAAGCTTGTTTCCCAAGGGGAAAGCAACTGTAATCTATGGACAGTTTACTATAAAAACAAATAAATATCTAAAGGAGCCCACACTCTTGCTCTTAAACCATGGACCTCCATTTGAAAACCTCTCTTTCGCAACTTTTTTTTTTGAAAATTTATCACAATATCCATAAAAAAAAAAAACTAATTATTTATCATTTTGCACATTTGTAACTATTTGAACTCATGATCCTATGTGTTTTCGTGTGTATTTTGAGATGAAACCTGGGCAAATTATTAAATACTTTATATCTCATGAGTATATGCTAAAGGAAAAAGTTGATATAAGGTTGCAACCTTATAATGTAGAAGTATGTTGTATCCAAAAAATTCCAATACAAAAGAGTGTTTCGAAGATAGAAAACCTTCCAATTTATCATGTAGATGTCAAAATATATCAATATAAAAATAAAAAAAAAGAGAATTTCAAATCCTAAAGATAGTGTATCTTGTAACAAGTTATCTGAACTATCTATTTTCAATATATTCAAGTGCTTATAGATCTACTTGATCTACATCATTTTTTAAATATTAAGTCCCATAATATCCATCACGAGGTTTCTGACTCTAGAACCACAGCTTCTTACAAAATTTAAAGGTACGCCTTACATGTACAATATAGGATTGATATTTTATGCAAAACTCACCCTTTTGATAAAGGTTGTGGTTTGTATAGGCATCAACCTTAAACAATCCAAGCAAGACACACCTATAAATTATGCTAAAAGATGTAGTATTGATGTTGGATAACTTTGTCATCGTCTAAAAAAATTTTCCATTTTTAATCATAAAATTTAAAGTTCTAAAAGTTATGCAGAGTGACTAAATCTATAGACACTAAAAAAATTGGGAAATAGACAGTCAGCACTATAAGATGTACTATTTTTTAGACTGAAGTCAATTTTTTTCTTATCCATATATCTCAAGATCAAAACAATCATTTGGAGGATTCTGCAATGCCAGGACAATCTATTTTGGTAGGTTTTTAAATATACATTATAAGGTTGACATCTCATGTAAACTGTTTTCTTTTATAAATTTCCTTTTTTGTAAGTGATATAAGATGTCAACTTTAAACAATTTAAGTATGGTGCACCTCCAAACTATATCAAAACATGCAATTTTGGTGATATAAAATCTCTATAATTACTTGAAAATCTATCTCCACCTTTAGTTATGAAATTTAAAGCTTCAAAAATAGTGCAGATTGAGTACATCTATAAATACTTAAAAATCTTAAAAATAAATACCTTTCATAATATGTTAGGATAGATTATTTAGGATTATATACCATGTGACCATTTTTTTTCGTTTGTGGAGGTCACAATTATGTTTAGCCATTGATATGAAATCTAATGTATTTAAGTGTATCATAACATTCGATAAAAATTTTTTTTGACTTTGTGCCCAATTAGTGACACTTCCCCAACCGTCCCAATTTGACATCCAACAGTCAATAATAATTGTGACCTTCTTATATTTAAAATATATGGTCTCATTGTGTACATTTCCATAATATTTTAGGGCTTAAAATCTTTTTTCTCTTTCATATTTATTCATATTGGGGACGAGATGATCAATTGAAGTACTTGTCAAAAAAAAAAAAAAAAAGATGATTAATTGAAGTGCCTTCTCTTATAGATTTTTTCGATGTGCCTTACTTTTATTTTGACAAGAAAAAAAAATAGCACTCCTTACTTCTATAGTTTAAAGATGATGTCTTATATAAACTTTTTCCGTAATTGGGTGGGATTAAGAAAAAAGCCTTACAATAATTTTCTTTCAAGAAATGACACTTATTGAGATTTCGTTTTTACCTTCGGCCCTTTTACGTTTTTTTTTTTTTGGCTCTCTTACTATATATAAAAGGGGTAAATAACAAGAGATATGAGAGGTGGCAAGAATGGAGTTGGGTTTCTAGAGAAAAAATGTGAATGGAAGCAAAAAAATATTGGATTTATAAAGAGAAAATATGAGATGAAGCAAAATTTTGGTTGGGATTCTAAAGAGAATGTGCTAGTGGATAAGAATAGTTGGGTGTTGAGAGAATGTAAGAGAAGAAATAATGAGTTGGGTTTTAGAGAGAGAATTTGAGATGGAAGAGCTTAAAAAGTTGGTTTTTAGAGAGAGAAGCAAAAAGGAGGGAAAAAACCACAATAAAAAATGTGCAGAAAAAAATGAGGCCTTTTGTTCTTAAAAGAGAAAAAATGAGGCTCTAGGAATTTGTTTTTAAAAGGCCCACGTCTATTTGTCCTTCTACAAAAAATAGGAGAGCCAAATTAAAAAAATAAATTTTTAATAAATTCAATGTCTTTAAAAATAAATTGGTAAGTTTTTGTCTTACAAAGCCCTATTTGTGTGGGTTAGGTGGTTGCTTTCCAAATAAATAAAGGGATACTATTGCACTACTTTTAATTTTTCAACAATTTAAAACTTTATCCTTTTGTAACATTTCTAACTGGTCATATATATTTTGATGGATATTTTAAAATTAAATTAAAAGACATAGGTAAAATATTTATTAGTCGATTTCTTATACGCATTTTGGTAAATTTCTCATGAATAAATAAATAGTTGTACTCTAAATATAAGTAAACAAAGGCTCCCTAGACCACTACTTATTGGGTATTTTCTAACCCAATATTTTTTTGATACTTAATATCCTTATTAGATAATATCTTTAGTAATAAAATCTTAATTCTTTTGTGGGCCTATTTTAGATAAGGGAAATGTTTATATATGGTTGCAATAGAATTACAGATGCACGTCAAAAATCTATCGAAAAGGTTGTTTTAATGTTGAAAAATCATCCATTTGATCATCTCGACATCTAGATGTATGAATATAAAAAAAAAACGTTTTTGAATCTAAAAAATAGTGCATCTAGCAACACATTATCTAGACCGTCCATTTTAAAGATTTTCATATGTTTATAGATCTTCTTGATTTTAACCATTTTTGGAGTTTAAAATTTTCTTATTAGATATGAAAATAGATTTTAACATAATACTAAGAATTTTTTATAACAAAATTACATGTTATGATAAAATTTAGAGGTACACCTCAATTGGATGTTGAAAGCTGCAACCTTATAAAAACTGCACCCTTTAGATAATCATTTAAAACTGGATTATAATTTTTAAGAAAGAAAAACACTATTGTTCATCAGTTTCATCGCTCCCCGACTAGTAGTGGAAGAAGCCAAGGTTGGTTGCTTCCTCCACCAAAAAAAACCCCTTTCTCTCTCTCTCTCTTGCTTGTGGCTGTCGTAATTAATCTCGAGATAAAAACGACTTCAAAATATAATGAAAAGGAAAAGTGTTCCCAAAAAATATACTTTAAATTTTATTTTTTTATTTTTTCATATTTATTATCAACTTGCCTTCAATGATGAATCACTAAAATCTTGGATAAAAAATCTATCTTTAAGATGAATTTTGTAGGGGATCGCACATGTGCATATGAGTCGGCTAACTCATGGAAACCCCATCCGTCTAAAAATTCAGCTCTAGCTTGGTGATTGATATTTAATTAGGGTGAAGAAGGCTAAAAGTTTTAACTTCATAAAATGGTTTGGTAGACCTGCAGCCATCAAAACAAGTAAAGCCTCACCGTATAATACCTCGAAAAATGTAATTCAACCATTAGAAAACTTTTACATTGATTATCTTGCCTTGAACATTATGGTTGTGGGTAAACAAAAAAGATTTCAAGTGTACATTGTAATAAATCATCAATATCGTCAATTGTGTCTTGAAAATAAGTGTTCATAGATCCGCAAGATCTACCGTTTCCATTGTCAGTGTTCAAAATTGATTTTAGAGCCATCATGGAGATTTCCATCACTGAAAGTGCTTTCCGAACAAGGATTTGAGGTGAGGCTTTATTTTGTTTCATAAAGCCTATGCCCTATAGAAACCTCATCCCTTTAACTTTGAAAAATTGCTTCATGCAGGCGGGACCGCATTCTACATATGTGGTCCAGAAAGTGTAAAGCATCCATATTAAAGATGGATTTAAGTAAGTCTTCCATCTAAAATCAATAGAAACTAATGGTCCAAATGTTTTTTTATTAGAATTATTATTTCTAGTTTTTAAAATTTATTTATTTCTTCATATTTATTATCTCCATGTTAGAGATTACATGTCATTAAAAATTAAGTCTTAAAATCCATCTCAAAAATAGATTTATTAATAGGCCCACATTTCTATATATGCAAGCTTGGCCGCATAGAAACTGGGTCCTTTTAACTTTTTGAGTTTGGCTTTACAAAAAGATATAAAATTTGAACAATTCTTGGAAAATATTTTTGAATGGAGTGCTATTACCATTTCTCACACCTAATTTCTATTAAATATGGCTAAATCTTGTTTTTTAACACACTAGATCACGGAGTGTTCCGCACCAACCATGTTTCTGACTGTCCATTTTTGTACTCGCTTCATCCAACTAACCTCATAACCTACAATTCTTTTTCGTTCTGAGTCGTCAGTACTTTTGTAAGTCCCTTTACTTTTACAAATGTGCATGACTTAATCTCTTAGGATGGAGGATACGATACACAATATCATTGTCCGTTTGCTACTAGAACTAATAAATTTGCATTTCCTCATAATTCACCTCCTGCTCTTCTTTGG